AGATCTTCCAAAGGGTGGATGAACTTCCAGGGGAAAAGCTTTCTAAGGATATTCCCCCAAAAGGGCTTTCAAAGAGCAGATAACTAAGTTCCTACTAAAAAAGCTTTCAGAGAGGGGATGAGCTCCTACATCAGCTAAGAACCATCAGTCCCCAGCAAAAAGATGAGCACCGACGGGTTTTCCTGACCATTGAAGAGCCAGGAATAGACTCTGCTATCAATAGCTAAAAGTAAAACACTTAGTGTACATTATTACCTGTCTCCTAACATAATGCACACAACACTCCAGCCTCTCTGGATCTTCACACTTCTTAGAAAACAGCCTACGCCACAGGGCACCTGCTAAGACACGGTCATCTTCAATCAGGGCTTCATCGTATCCAAACAAAGCCGCTTGGAATGAGGAATTGATTGCTTCCATTTGTTCTTTCCGTATGCTTAAAGACGCTGCCTGGAATAAAAGATGGAAACGTCTCAAGTAGAAATGGTGAAATCAGAGAAATGAGATAAATATGTATTTGGAAAGTTCTTAACGCAAATCACTTTTTGCTGAATATCACGACTACTTGCACATGCATGAAAAGTACAACACAAAAATAATATACTGCATAAAGTTTCTGCACAAACAAGCCAAAATATTAGTCAAAGCCCTCTACTTTCATCCTTCTACCATTACCTACAGACAAATAATCAAAAAGTCTCTGAAGTAATATCACACGACACCAAGTATTGTTCTTCCCAATGTAGATATACCATTCATTTTTGAAGGGTTTCAACCGATGCCGACACAACCCAATGGCATACTACCTACCCCAAGCTTTTTTGATCTTGCATCTGCATCTTCCCACAATGCCTCAATGAGAGCATTTCTGGTGAATCTTCCTTCATTTCCCTCAGCCATGAGCCGCACCATCAGCATCCAAATGTGAAGCTCAGTAACCAAAAACCAGGAGTAAAATGTGTCTGGGAGATCACAAACTGCAAAAGGAATATGTGCTTATAAATACAAAGAATGATCTTTTTTGTCCTCAGAAAACTGTATGAGAAAAATAATAAACATATTTTCTTTTTGCTCATACAATTAAATGTAATTAAGGAGACAATATGTAAGCTGCATTTTTTAAACGCACATACCTACGCACACGCGCACAAAGATAAGTATGAAACTCACCCTCGAAAAATTCATCAACCCTCACTTTCTCAGTCAAGTTAGAATACAGGAGAAAACCAGACCTTTTCAATTTCTGAAAAATCAAATACCATTATTGTTTCCTCACACTATAAAATACAATGATTTCACTCAATGAAAGCATTAACAAAGAGAGAAAAAAACTTTTAAAAAAATAATACATGCTTATCTTCTTTTTACTGACTATAAATCTAAAATTAAATAAAAATAGTAGGGATAACCAATAACAAAAGATAGAAAACTAGCCACCCCTTAAAAAGCTTACCACTGCAGATTTCTGTCCTCTGAAATTGTGACAAAAAAAAAGTTCTGCCAGTTTGACTTTAGCTCTTTATATTTTTTATCTGAGAGTTTGCACAAAATAGTTCAATCCTATAGGATGTTCCTTTCATGGCCTACCACTAATGTCTAATATAAATGAGACAAGATACAAGACATTCCCATCTATACAAAGCACTGGAAGAAAAATGCTTACCGTCCTTGAATATTTTAAGAGTCCCATCTTTTTTATAAAGCGTTTGAACAAACTTGCATCTGTTCCTGAATATCTCTTGCTTGTGTACTGAGGCATAGTGTTGGGAAGGTATGCAGTTGACCACAGAGTATTTGTTATACAACTGCTCTGAGAAACTGGAATACAAATGCCAAATTTCTGTGATGCAAGTGATGATAAAACCATGACATTTCTGGCTGGTTCAGTTATTCTTCTTGATTGCAATAATCTTGACAAACTGTTTCGTAACATTGTTCCCTGCAACAGACATTGGAAAGCAAAATAATTACTCATTATTCTATTTCAATTAGATATTTTCCTGCAAAAGACAGGCTATTATCATACTGACTGCATTTCTGCTCAAAACTCCAAAGACACTTCAGCAGAGTTAGCATGAAAATATATTCACTCACAGAAAGCAAGCTAGTTGTCTGAGATATTATCTATATATTCCAGTTGTTTCACCAATCTTTTAAGGACAATCACACATCAGCACTGCCTCCCTTAAGGCCAGCATCATCCAGCCACCAGGCAATGGACTATTAATTATAATTAGACATCACCTGGTGTCAGTGAGTTTTTCACCAAGACATGATAGGATCCCATCCAGCGTGAATGAATTAATGATATGAAATAATTTGTTATAGTAATTAGATTTTACAAATAAATCTTTATTTCCCATCAACACTATATCATCTGGCAGTAATTATCAAGTTTAATTAGTTATGAAAAGAACCACATCACTACAGTTATGATAAAAAAACTCCAAATGATTAAATCATAGAAACAGTTTTAGTAAAAGCTTGATACCAGTATATCAGGACTGGTCTTCACCTATATAGATGTGAAAGCATGAGCATTCTAAAATATATAAGATCTGGTCCAGATCTTACCTATAGACTACTAGCAAAGCTGCTCCCTTGTCCTGGAGTTATTGTGGAATATGGAGCAAAGGACTTCCTTGAGTAGCAATCCTGTAACCAAAAATGCTTTTAACCCTTTGTGTTCAGATATAAAATAATGGATCGCTATATATTGTTCTATGATCAAGTATTTCATCGGAAAAATTACTATTGCCACAATCAATTCTGACAAAGATAAAGATAATGTAGATTTATTTAGAGGAATTATCCCATTGGATCCAGATGCTTCACTATCATCATGTGGTCCAAATACTGGCATTAGGCTTAAGTTAGCAGACACTTTGCTGGGTGTGTGGCTTGAAAGCTGGGCAAAAACGAATACTCATGTCTCCTCTTTGCAATGTTATTTTCTCTTTTTCTGCATAAGCATTTTCACCTTTCATGCCATTTTCCAATGTGTTTATCTGTTATTTGATTTGCTCTATCCATATGGTAACAGATACAGATTCTATATCATATCACTAGGTAGTCTATATCTCAGATCAATAATAGCAACAATAAGTAACATCATGTCAGTTTGTTTGTTTTTCCATAATATTCAGTTATCTGTAAAACAAACTATATTTTTCTTCTAGTCATGGCTTATGGGCATTACAATCCACACTTGTTTATGGATGGGAAAAATGCAAAACCCCTTCCTAAACACAGAATGAGTGTAATCACCCTCCAAGAGCTCTGGGCACTTGTCTCTCCCATCACCCCGGCCTTCAGCTGAAATGCTCACGACAGCAAGTTCATGTCACCCCAGCCCACAGCCAAGCTTTCCCATGGCAGCATGTTCATGTCACCTGTCCCTCAAGCTAATCTTTTGACAAGATGGTCATGTCATCCGGGACATAGGTGTTGAGAAAGGAATGAATAAAACATGAAAGCCAACAGCATGGGAGCCAAAAATCTTACTCTGTTGTCATGACATTAAAGTTGATTATTTTGTTTAGCATATTCAATATTAATTTGTCAAGACCAGGTGAGATTTACTTAAAGTTCATTAGAAATTATTACACTCTTCTTACCTATTATGGAACCTAGTAGCAAGTACATGAAAATAATTGAATATCGACTTCTCAAACACCACTTGTGAAATATACATCTTTCATACATACCACATTAATTCTCTTTCTCTAGCCATGCAATGTCTACGAATACCTGAGTGTGTAAATAGGGAATTACTACTTTAGTCAGGTACAGTTTCAATTTCCCAACGCTATATCGTATAAGGTAAAATTTACTAGTGATTGGCAGAATGAGACACTTTTCCTCAATAGTTTCCTTCACAAATTGAAAAGAAAGAAAATTGTGACATCTAAAACTGGTAAATTTGGAAAAAATCGTAAACAATACCTTCGACGGCGAGACTAGATTCGTTCGATTTCTATTGTTTTGGTTAGGTTGAATCTGGCTATCGTGTCCATCGCAAATGCTGTTTTTCGTATATAGAGACTGATCGCTTATCTTTCTAAAAATCATAGAAATACCATATTTTAAATTAGATTAAATCAATTATTTCATAAGAAATCACTGTTATTGCGCCTATATTATTGTTGGTCGTCTTTTGTTTGCATTCGAGAATACCGAAACGTACTTGACAGCTGAGTAAACAAGTCGAAAATCGCTACGTCATTTTATCTGTTTTTGGTATTGTCACTTGTTTGTCGAGTATGTTCATCACTTGTGTATACATATCAAGTCCCCCCCCCGAATGTTGGGGGGGGTATTCCCCAGCTGGGGAGCCGCCCCGGACCCCGAGTGTTTGGGGGCATGCAGACAAACCTATAAAACTTAACCTAACCTCCCCAGGGGTATTCCTTAAGCCCAATTACATTTTTATTTAGAAATTTAAAATAAAACTATCGAACATACCTAAGCAGAAGAGGGACCAGGTTGAGGGTCGTCGGGGTCCGAGTCCGTTGAGGCAGGGGCGACGGCAGGGGCGACTTTTCGTCGCTCTGATTGGGGAGGGTACAGCCGAGCAGCTTCGGTGAGGAATTTGTGGAACCTCAGGTGCCTCGTGTTCTTGATGAACAAATACCTCGATAAATACTGTTGAAAATATTGTGGCCGGTTCCCAGGACGTTTCACCCACTCCTTTACGTCCCGCCACAATCTTTCAATGTTCTGGGTGTGAATTGACCTGTCACCAGGATCCACAAACTCCTCCGAGTGATTAATGACTCGATGGGTGTATCCCTCCTTGTCGAGACCAAGGTACGCTCCCCAACCGTCGCTACAAATGATGGAGCCAGGGAGAATAAACTTCTTTATCAAGGGAACGAGTGTTTCCTTGTTCCTGTTGGGAGAAAGAGGAGGCACCAAAGGAACCAAGAAAGATTTCTTAGATTCCCTCTCAATTCCTCCGAAAACGCAGATGTTGCTCAGCTGCCTCCCGCGGCCGTACT